ATTAAATTAGAAAAATATTGTGTAAGTTAAAAAAGATATTAAATTATTAAATTATTAAAATGAAGGGAATATTCAGGAGAATTTAATAAAGTAATAATCAATTAACAATTGCTGTATATGGTGCAGGAATTAATTGATTATTAAACAGATAAATTTTGAAACTTGATAATAATTATTTTAAATATTGTACATAACCGGCAATCTGAGCAATTTCGCTCTTTTACACAGGGCAACGAACCCGCCCTCCGATGTATAAACACTATCATTGTTTGTGTGTTGGTTCCTAATCTTAGAGTTTCCTCGGTACAGATAATATTCATACCCGATTGTTACCACCACCAATTAACCGGGGTTATACTTAAAGAAAGGGTAGTTGTAAGTTGAACTGATTTGTATTTGTGTACTGTAAAAAATTGTTAACCTTCTAATTAACAGCTGCGTAACGTTTGATACAAGGATGAAATGTTAATAAATATATGACTTTCTTTTACTATCAAGCATAAATGTAAATTTAAATGAAACTCTTACCTAATCAGTACATAAACAGTTATCTATTATAAAACGTATACAATAAAAAAAATGTTATTCCTTATAAATGTTTATTCTATCATGATGTTTGAGTGCTAAGTGTCGTTATAGCATTAAAAGACAGAAGTAAATAAAAACACTATTTTGCTTTAAGTAAGATTCAAATCTGGGATTTTGAGACTACAAGTACTGCTACGATCAACTAAGAGCTAACTATATTTACTACCAATATGTAACTCTACAATAAATGAAATGTAAAATATATGTAGAGTAGCTTCACAGCTTAAGTTAGAGGCTTTAAATTACTGAATTTGTAATGATGTTGATATCAAAGTAATTGACTTAGAATCGAGTTCTTTAAGCTCATTACTCATATACTTGGTGTGAAATGTTTATCAATCAATAAATGTTTGCAACCTACTAATTTATATGCCACTTGATATAAAATAACATGGAAGTAGTATTTGTGAAAAAATGTTTGTATTCCATATTAAATACAATATAACTGGTTAGATGACCAAAAACTATAATAATTTTTCTTTTGCAATAGAGTATTTTTAACTTTATAATTCAAGTCATAAACGTTTTACTTTTAGAGCTCTTTTAAATACTTTTAAAGATTTGGAACACTAAAGAATGGTTAAGTGCATTAAGATTTTGTAATTGATATGACATATTATACGCACTTCTAAATCTTATAACTTTTTAATATAAATGACATAATGTTTAGTGTCATGATATTTTTAATTTCAGAGCTTATCCAATGGTTCAGAAGAGGATTTAGTTGTGGTTCCGAATGTACCAATGTTATCAGCCACTAGTCAATCAAAACACGCTGCACGATTTTTACGGCTAGCCATGGCTTCCATCATGGATATTCTTAAAATCAAACCATTTGTGGAAGTATCTGTAGGACAGTTGTTATGGGGATATGAAGATCCGCTGCTGAAACTTGCCAAGGATGTTGTACCAACTGATCAAAAGCTTCCTTATGAGCAGTTTGGACTTCTGTATGGAAAAAATGGCACAGGAAAAGATAACTTTACAATTTTTACGGGAGTAATGGACATAACAAAATATGGACTTTTAGATAGATGGAATGGTAAAGCCGGTCTAGGTCACTGGACAACAACACATTGTGATACTGTGATGGGTAGTGATGGAAGTATCTTTCCACCATACATAACGAAACATACAGTTTTAAAAATATTTGATAAAGATCTGTGTCGTGTATTACCACTAGTTTACAAGGTAATAGCATATAAATATTTACTTTTTAATGTAGTATGCATGAAAAATTTTTTATTAGCAGGATAGTAACGTGGTAAAGGATGTCATTTTTGTAGCTTGGGAGCTTAAAAGCACGTGCTCACAAGTTTAAACCAAAGCCCTTACTCACTTGGCTCGCACCCCTAGAAAACTAATCTTTCATGTGCGTATTTTAAATCGTGGTCCAAAGGTTTATAAAATATTAAATTGGATTGGACACTACCTTTAGAAAAATGTTATATAGACTTCAAAATTTTTATGCCAATGAGGTATTTTTAGTGATAATAAAGACCTATTTTTCTCCAAAAGTTGCTTTAACGCAGAAACAATTATCTTTAAGTTTCATTTAAGAGATCAATATAACTTCAAATACTAAGGTTTTATTTATTTATTAAAAAAAAAATTTTTTCAAATAATGCTGGGTAACAGTTTGAAATTTAATTTCATATTAATACTTCGCCTTATTCTAATAGCTAATTCCTACTTGTATACTATAAAATTTCTGTTTTTCCTGATTTAAATAACGTTTCATCGTAAGTAATGATGGGTCAAGGGGTCAATGCTATTATCCCTCAGGTTTTTACTTATAATTTTCATCGTAGGAGAGAAAAATAAATCAAGCAAAGTTAAAGGTATCATGAAAAAGGTACTAAAGAGTATAGAGATAAAATCAATAACTTAATTAGATTTGAGATATAAAATCAGGACGGATCTCAACTGAATCGAGAAACTGGTAGGTTTATTATGACTTTTTTTTATCAATCACTTGCACAAAAAAGTTAGAGGTCTGACTAATCCATAAGGTTTATTAAATGTGTAAGTTTGACGACTTTCAAACTTAGCCGCCTACATGACGTCTGTAGCCGGCTAAGCGGGTACTCGCTTCGAGCGACGTGCCTTGAGTAGAGTTCGTTGCTGATAAGCTATGCTGCGTCATAGTCGCACTCGCTTTTATACTGTAAGAGTATATTATTTCTAAATATCTGTGATTACCAACATTTGTGTTGATTCAGGTAAATGATATACGGTAGTGATATTGGTTGTATATAGTTTGTGTATTTTTAGATATTAAGTATTTTTGTATTACAGTTTTTCACTGCAACAGCACGTGTTGGTTATTTCACCTTACTCCAACCCACTCCTTTTAATAAGTCTCCAAGGCAGAGACTTATAAATGTAACATATGCTTATATAGTACCTTACGTAGTAGCTTTTTGCTGCTAACGTAGAAAATGAGATGGCTTCTGTCGTAGAAACTTGAAAAATATTTTTTTCTCACTTTTCACTTTTTTAACTATTCAAAACTCTAAACGAACAACGTTCATCAACAAAATATCTGTATTAACATAACCACCGTAAAAGTAATTATTTGTATTAATGCTCCATAATTGTATACATCCTCTTGTACGTGAAAAGATCTATATCCATGCAAGAAAACCGAGGTGAATAAAAAGTCAATACCTTACTTTTATATGTTACATAACTACCGTCTGTTTAATTTTTATGTGGCTCTTACGCCACCTTGCACATTTTTAAATAGCTCCCATAAGCCCTCTAGAATCCCCCACCCCCACATGATATTTGTAACACATGCCATCGTTACTTTAAACCAATAGAATTTTTCTGTATGTCTTATTACCCGACCTTTGGTGATACATTGCAATTCACTGTTGTCCTGAGCTTAATTCACTGATCTATTCTTTTTATTATACTAGAAGGCTTCGTCCCCTGCATGCTCTGTGCACCAACCCTTCAAACTTTTTTGATAAAATATATTTCTAATAATTATTTAATCTAAATCAAATGATTAAACTTTCAAAATCAACCTGAGCCCAAACGAATAAAACGACCACGATAAGCCAGCGCTTGTCTACTTAATCTTATATGTACATTTAAATGTACTTTCTTTCGTCTCTCACGACCAATCAGATCATGGCGTATTTTGTCGATAGTCACGTGACCCTCCTTCTTTTACAAGAGGATTTATTCTACGTATACACTTTGATAAAAATGATATCTAAGGTGAATAGCTTTCTGTTGTTATTATTTTTTGTATACGTTGCTCTTAAGCTTTTTTGCAGATTAATCTAATTAATATGGAAAATTAAAATGATAGCTTGTCTGCTTTAGCTTACACTAGTGCCTATCATTCCGGTGAACAAAGATGAAATAACTGCAAAATCTTACGACACTATGCTTCAGATAAATAACCAAAGTATGTATTACAAGTATACTAACAAAGTGAGACTGATTTGTACTTAATGGCACGTTACTGCTACACAAGATTTTTGTTGGATTAAGGATCCAATTTAATTTTGCTAGAAGCAATTAGATATTGCACACGTCAAACAATATGATTTGTTTGACCAAATCAATATACGATGACTTAGAACTAATTTTTGTACCTGCATTACAAATACACAGCTTAGAACAAATTTCAACAATGTAAAAAAATTATTTCTAACCACAGGGTTACTAATAGGAACGCTACTAGAATTCGTGAGTTGGATTACAAAAAAGTTACTTGGATCTATCAATCCAAATAATAAAGATAAAATAAATAAATACACGAACAATTCTAACAGCTCCACACAAAAAACATAATACTTAAAAGCTTAAAAGCAAAACATACTTCAATTGTGTACACACTCTTGGAAAACACATATAGAATGAATGAAAACCATAATAAAAAAATTTTTTTTTAATTAGGAAGCTTAACGAAAAAACCATTCTTAATGAAAAATAGTAATTAAAACATTTAATATAAAATAAAATAATTAGAGTAGATAAGCTCTTTTAAAACCTCACTAATTTTTATATTGAATTCTTAAAAAAACGCTAATTAGTGCAGTAAACAATCGTCAAAAGGACACCTACATTTGCTGAGGATACAAAACGAACAACTACCAAAAATTCGTGATAAAATTAACTTATGCAATAAAAAGGTTACACTACCTTAAAACAATTTAGCCATTATACTTAAATCCTAAAATAAATGCAGTAATAATAAGTGGTAGATTAGCAGTTACTTAGTTTCTCTCAAATATACGGTAAAAAACTTAGTAACTGTACAGTGCACTGGAAGGCATATCCAGGAAATTTGCATTTAGATTTGAAAAGAAACGTTACCATAGAGCCCCTACATAGTAATCTGATTGTAAGCAGTCATTTTGAAAACAAACATATTGTCAATATACAGTTTTTATATAATTGCATCACTGATAAAAATGTTATATATGGTTAACCAGATGCACTTATTTTAAAAGATAATATAATTAATCCTTATAAAATCTCATCGTTAATGAATACTACCACGGAAGCATCAAAAACTTGCCAAATAGCATTAGATAAATCAACACAAATTAATTGTGTAAGGCTTCAGATCACTAATCAATTATTGTATTTTTCTATACTACCAGAAAATACTACTACAGTACAATTACTGTTTGGATTTCAAATGCACAACTGGCTGAAATTAAATTATAATATACGAGAAAATTGACGGTTAACAGTAACCGTAGTGCTCAGGCTCCTAGCTACAACTTATATAAAGTAACGGCTCTTAAATTGACATAAAGTTACTACAACAGAACAGAACTTTATGACAGCTTAGAAATTTTCTTGAATCTTTTCGGCATCAAAAAAGATTAAATTCGGACCCAATAACTCTGCTCTTGAAATTAAAAAGATAAAAACGACTAATTAATAAATGAATTAAATTATGTAAGCACATGAAAGTAGTGGAGAACCGGGCTACTTCTTGTAGTACCGTACCTGAAAGGCTAAAGAAAACAACCTTGGATAAATACACTTAGAAAGGTTCTACATTCTTACCTCATCATGGACGTGATAGGTTGTTAAGCACTGAAAGTAAAACGAGCGACATCAATGCTGTCAGCATTTTCAGCTACAATACCGAGATAAATCTGGAATTTATCAGAAACTTAAGTATTTACAGAACTTGAAATAATTGTTTAAAATACGATAGAAGCAGCAACGACAATGTTCACAAAAACAGCGATGCCAATAAAAAAAGTTATGAAAGTAGTGTGAGATCTACCGTATAAGTTTAAGGATAGCCGGAAAGGGATAATAAAGAGATATGCAAAGCAGATCTCGAGCTAGGCATTCTAGGGGATAGGTCTTGCCTGTTTGGTAGGTATTCTGTCTGTGCTGCTGAGAATGTCATAATTACACACATCTCCAGGCAGACTGCGAGTCCCACACAGAAGCGATTCGTGCCCACGTCTATTTTGTGTCGAGCCATTCTGTACAATCTTGTATAAAGAAAAAGAAAAATATAGTTATGTAAATCATAATAATAATAATAATATATACATCCTCTTGTACGTGAAAAGATCTATATCCATGCAAGAAAACCGAGGTGAATAAAAAGTCAATACCTTACTTTTATATGTTACATAACTACCGTCTGTTTAATTTTTATGTGGCTCTTACGCCACCTTGCACATTTTTAAATAGCTCCCATAAGCCCTCTAGAATCCCCCACCCCCACATGATATTTGTAACACATGCCATCGTTACTTTAAACCAATAGAATTTTTCTGTATGTCTTATTACCCGACCTTTGGTGATACATTGCAATTCACTGTTGTCCTGAGCTTAATTCACTGATCTATTCTTTTTATTATACTAGAAGGCTTCGTCCCCTGCATGCTCTGTGCACCAACCCTTCAAACTTTTTTGATAAAATATATTTCTAATAATTATTTAATCTAAATCAAATGATTAAATTTTAGTAATCAATCTAAACTCCAACAAACAAAACGGCCTCGATTAGCCAGCGCTTGTCTACTTAATCTCATACGTACATTTAAATGTACCGCCGTTCGTCTCTCACGACCAATCAGATCACGGCGTATTCTGTCGACAATCACGTGACACTCATTCTTTTAGGAGAGGACCCTTGACACATCCTACACACAAACAATCTTACCTCAGCGCCACCAACATAGTTCCAC